ATTTTACATATATATATATATATATATATATATATATATATATATATGTGGAAAAAAGATGGGCTTGGCCATCTCTCTCATAGCATTTAGGTGAGCTCAACGGCGTTAATTTAACTTTTGAGTTTGGAGGGCCAGGATGCCATCCCACGGGGAGTTGGTTTGAAAGTTAAAAAAATGTTTTAATCCCGTGGGTACTGATACCCGGAAAGAAAAAGGTACGAGTACTCCCTCTCCTCTCGCTCTCTCTGTGTATTCTCTCTCCTCTCGCTCTCTGTTTATTCTCTCTCCTCTCGTTCTCTCTATATATTCTCTCTCCTCTCGCTCTCTCTGCATATTCTCTATGCACATTCTCTCTCTGCATATTCCCTCTCCTCTCCGTGTATTCTCACTCCTCCGCAGAGAAGCTTATGCTTGCTAAAACAAGCTCTCTCCCTACTGCTACCATTTGTCCTTGCTCCTCAAACCCACGGATCTCGTACAAAAACTCTCTTCCTCTCAATGTATGCTAACGGTCTCTCTTCTCTCCCATTTTTCTATTTCCATCTCTCTCTCTGGTTTTTTTATTTCCATCTCACCCTCTGGTTTTCACTCTCGATATACACTAAAACCCCCAAACACCCAAAGAACAGCACCCAATCTGAGCATTTTTGTCGAGATTGGTTTCCTCTGGTTTTCACTTTTATAGCATTTTTGTCCAGATTTTGTTTTCGTTTCTTGAATGTCCCAAATACTGAGCAAAACCATGTGTATATATGGTTCTTTCTCTGTAGCATTTTTTGCCCAAATTTTTCTTTTGTTTTTATAGCATTTTTGCCTAGATTTTTTTTTGTTTCTTGAATATCTAAAATATTGAGCAAAACCCTGTGTATATATGGTTCTTTCTTTGTAGCATTTTTTGTCTAGATTTTTTTGTAGCATTTTTTGCCCATATTTTTGTTTTCGTTTTTATAGCATTTTTGCCCAGATTTTGTTTTCATTTCTTGAATATCCCAAATACTGAGCAAAATCATTTGTATATATGGTTCGTTCTCTGTAGCATGTTCTGCCTAGATTTTTTTATTGCATTTTTTTCTCAGAATTTTGTTTTTGTTTTAGTTTGCTTTCATTTTTTGGCAAATATATGGTTGTTTCTCTGTATTTGATGCAAAACCCTGTGTATTTTGGTTTCCATCTGTTGAATAATGATCGAGGTAAAAATGTTGCATAGTATTTGGGTTATTCAAGTATTGTTGTAGATATTATTTATAGTTTTCTTTCGTTTATTGGCAAATATATGGTTTTTTCTTTGTATTTGATGCAAAACCCTGTGTATTCTGGTTTTCAACGGTTGAATAATGATCGAGGTAAAAATGTTGCTTAGTATTTGGGATATTCAAGTATTGTTGTAGAACAATACCCAATTTCTCTAAGCTTTTCTTTCACTAACTCACGATATAAATCGAGCCCTTTAACTCTCTCACACACACTTCATTCTCTCTCTAGAACCTCTCCCTCCATTGGAACAAAAAGGTGACTCTTTAAGGTAAGTGTTCCCACCCACGAACTAGAGTTGCCAATAATGGTGCAACAGGGCTGCTACCCTGTTAAAATAAATAAAGTCTCACTGCATAAGTCATCTAAAATTGTAGTTCAAGTATTAAAAATCTTTGCATCAAATTATTTGGCCTTGAATATTATACATATGGGAAACAAATTAAGATTTAAAAATGGTATATATTGTGATACTTGTGTTTTAGTTTTTCATTGATAGATTCATCAGTTAATAGATTCATCAGTTAATTGTGATACTTGTGTTTTAGTTTTTCATTGATAGATTCATCAGTTAATAGATTCATCAGTTAATTGTGATACTTGTGTTATAGTTTTTCATTGTTCGATTGTTACAATAATTACTAATTTTGATTCACTTCATTGGTTTTATGTAAAGAATGTTAGTTTCCTCGGTTTATTTAGATGTTAGTCAGAGTTTCATGAAAGTTGGCATTTTTGGCCTTTGTTGTGACATGAACCAACATAAGCACCATTCAATAGCTTCCGATTCGTACTTCCATATGAAGATGATGAAGCATGTAGAAATTCTTTTTCCACTTTGTTCCAAAATGTTTTCTTAGAAGCAGTGTTGAAAATTTTAGGTAGGTATTGCCTGAGCTAGGTGTTGTTCCTCTACTGTATACCTTTTTTGCTCTGAAAATTGTGACATATATGTAGATCGATATGATAAAATTGTGATATAAACTCATTTTATCTAGTCTTGGTATCCTTATTAACCATAGGCTTTATCAGAGAGAGAGAGTACTTAGGGAAACATCACATTTAGAGAGACAATATAATGCAGGAATTTCGAAATGGCATTCCTTAGGACTTGGAGTATTACAATCATTCATCATAATCAAGAAAGTGATGGTTTTGTTTCCTCTACTGTATACCTTAGGTATCGATTATGTTCCCTTGACTCAGTTAAAATGAGTTTATGTAGATCGACTATGATAAAATTGTGACCTTTTTTCCTCTACGGTATTCCCTATCATGCTTTACTTTTTGGTTTGTGGTGTTTTCTTTGCTCTCAGATAAAATAGTTTGCATATGTTCACTTCAATGGCTGTTGCAATCCATGGATGTGATAGAGTGAGAATAGGGCATTTGAGCTCATCTGATCATTTTAACTGAATGGATCTCGACAATCAATTCCCTCCAAGGATTTGTAAATGCAAACCAGGATGTCATCGGATACGTGTGTTTATATCAAAGACACATGATAACTACAATTGGCATTTCTAATAATGCTCTAACTGGAAGGTATGTAATATTCTTTCATTAAGATAATGTAGAAGCATATTGGTGTTCCATTGTAAGCATATATCTAACACATATTTATCTTATCGTGTTAACAACTAGAATGAGACTGGATGCAGCTATTTAGAGTGGTGTGATGAAATTCTAGGTGAAGATAGAAGCATGTGGTTAAAAGGTTCGTGTCTTAGAGGCCAAATGCTCGTGCTGCTGATGAAGTAGATGCATCTCTGTCTGAGAAAGAAAAGTGCAAATATGTTGCTATGGTCCCTAAAAAAGCAGACGTTCAAAAAATTTGTCTCATATGTGTAATTTTATTTATGACATTGATGTTTGCCCACCTTTTTTTTGTAAAAAGAATGGGTATATGTTTTATAGTATCTATATAATTATAATTGTATACACTTATTGTTCTCTATCTTCTATGGAACAACAATTTTCAATTGACTATATTTATACATTCATATAGTTCGATAATCTCTCTCTCTCTCTCTCTCTCTCTCTCTCTCAAGCATCAGATATTCTTGAGCGCTTTGAATGGTCAAAGCTGAATGAGTAGTATTAATTTTTGGTGGTTTTGTGGTTTAACGGTGAACACTTTATTTGCTTATACTACATCGTGAATGATTTGGTATACCTTTGAGTTTTATAGTGCTCAAGCATCAGATATTCTTGAGTGCTTTGAATGGTGAAAGTTGAATGAGTAGGTATTAATTTTTTGTGGTTTTGTAGTTTGAATGGTGAAAGCTGAATGATTAGGTGTTAATTTCTTGAGTGTTATTCTTGAGTAGTTGTTTGGAGTAGGATTATCATACTAAGTATCCTAAAGCTTGTTTAAAGTTTATTGTATTGATGCTTCAACTTGTTGTATTGTTTAAAGTTTGTTGATGCTTCAACTGAGTTTACTGGAGTTTACATTGTTATATTTTTGGAGAGCTGTCGCTAATTCTATTGTAATAGTATCAGCTGAAGTCTTTTTCTTTTTGAAAAATTTTGGCTTGATGTCTTAGGATTGTAGCTCGAACGGCATAGTGATGTCTAGTTGTTTTTGGATATTTTATTCTAGATAAGCTTCTTAAACTAGTTTTGTGAATACAGTACTGATGATATTTTGGATATTTTATTCTTCACTTGTTTGATGCATCTTTGGGTAGATATGTGAGATCAAAAGTGTCTGTTAATGATCTGATATGGTTTGAGAGTTGGTGTATTGTGTTTCGAGAGGGTCTCATGGTGATTAAATTATAGATTATGTGCCTTATTTCTCTGGTACAAATTTTCCTGTCTCAAGGTCACATTTTTTTATTTGTTTCTTTTTTTGATGCATTTTGCAGCCCCATTCTTTCCAAATCTGATATTTTCTTTTCATTTTTATTTTCAATTTCCATTTTGTGTGGCTTGAACTTCTTATCAATCATGACTGCTCTTTTTCCTAGGTTTTCATTGAAGAATTGTGCTTTTCATAGGGGATTAACTGATATTCTCTGTGAGTTCCAAAATTTTGGTTTAGCTCACATGGCAGGTTCATAATTCTTTTGGGATCTTGTACATGAAAAACTCTTTAACCAAACCATCGACTGGATTGTAAGACACCTGCAAACCGAGCTGATCTACCAGAAAGAAACACAAGATTTCATCTGAAAATTTTCAGATATGGCTCACATTGAAAAAAACGCAGTAATCTTTATGCCATTTGTAGATTATCCATATGAAGACATTAAAGTTTATTCCCAGAGGTGCCCACCTCATGCTGGCAAAAGAAATCTCCATCCACATGGGGGGAGAAAGAGTCCAAATGCACATACACGCAAGGCACAGAGAGAACCAAGCGGGCTTCAACAAAGCGAAGGCAAGAAGGCATCTCCTTCCACATGGAGAATAAGGAGTGTGTTAAAGCAAAATCATTGCCACCAAATGAACGAAATAAGGCAGTAACAGATGTTACATATCTTAAATCCACATGTACCATGGAAAGGAAGAGGAAAAAAAAAAACTTGAAAGCCGCAGGTTCAGCCCAAAATTAACACTATAAGAGCATTACCCAAAAGTAGTAGAGTAACAAAACAACCATATACTTCTCCCAAAAAGAAAAAATTGTCTCCAGACCAATATACATAATTTCGGGACTTCAATAGACACAGCCATGAAAAAATGCTACAATGCTTATATTGAGTTCTGTCAATCTAGTTAAAGGCGTAGAAAACAATAGTACCAAAACTATGGATAGAGTACCAATCAAATACAAAGGATCCCAAAAGGTATTTTACAAGTTGCAGCAAATAATCCGAAGTCTATTACTTGAGATACAAGTTCTAGCCATTGACTGCTAACACAATTGCCTCATGTTTCCACCAATGGGTTATCTTTTAAATCATTTGCAGCTTTCACTTTCTGCAGCACAAAATCTGCAAAAAGACAAGGTAAAATAATCAGCAAATATAAACTCCAATCTTTTATAGAAGAATTGGAAATAGAAGATGATAAGAACATGCACGGATAATGAAAAAGATATTGTTTAACATAATACGTTCAAGGAATTCATATCTTCTCGATTTACGAATAACTGATGCTATGATGATAAAAGCAGATCCCAAGAGTCAAAAAATTATATCTAAAACTTACATTTCACAAGTGAACGGTATCACCTTCCTTTGATAAGAACACTATAATAAGAATATAAACCAACCAGGCTGCAAGTCAAACTTTTAATTTGAAATATACTTTGATGGACACAACAAACTCAGCACTTCACTAGTTACCACTCATATATGAATGGATTTGATGTGACTGAATCTTACCATCAACTCACTTTTGCTGCCTTCTTATGGGTTCGAAGTGTACGACATGTTTTTTCCTTAGCGTTGTAAGACGAAGATAAATTCATATGTTAACATTTAAATTGAAGCTAATACAATTGTAAATCAAATGCATCAACAATAACGAAGATAATACAATTGCAAATCAAAATAATGTAAAGGTATGCAGTTATACCTATCACAAACGAACGACGGGTAATTCGTTTTGTCATGCCCACTGCCATTGCAGACTGCGTATTTATTTTTTTTGGCTTCCATCCCTCAGACCGAGCTTTCATTCTTTTGGTGGTCGATCATCCCTTTGTCCGTGCTCGTGCAGGTTCAAGGACATTACGACAACGGTTACTTCCATTTGGTGTGTTACTACAACTAGCAGAATTGACATCCTCATTGACATGGATCATGACATTATCCTGTAGACCTCTCTTGCACATGAACTTTTCATCAAACTGACGAATTCCATTTTTTATTATAGTCATTACAAACTCATGGCCCTCTATACTTTGTGAAGCACGCTCGGCAAGGGATTGACTTGCCTGTACAACCTCATTATATCTAATGGAGCGTGGTAGTTCAAATGTTATTTGAATTTGTTCCCCCAATGTCATCAAGGAAAACTCCATTCTTTACATCCATGGTCCAATGCTTCATTATATATTGTTGAGGGATATCAAAGACCTCTTTTACCATAAAAATCTTTAATACATACCTACAAAGAAGGCTCATCCTCTCAAAGAAGTGACAAGAGCAAGAAACAAAATTGTCATGGCAATTGAATTTCATTAAGTAGGATTTAGCTCCGGACCCTAGGATTGACACCTTAAAGGTTGCAACCGCTCCATTGTCTTCTACTGTCTCCCTCGTAAAATTAAAGCAATTAGCCACTTCATCCCCAAATATCTTTAAAATTTTTGAAGTATAGATTTTTTATGCATGTGTCTTAATAAAAGTGGTTGTTCGCAAGACTGGAGTAGTTTGAATATCTTTCAAGTCATTTTCCCTCTCTTTTCGCACCTTCTTATCTTTGACTTTTGCAACAACTTCTAACAATATACGCAAGCTTGTTGTGGGTGTTAAGTACATCTTGAAGTATGTATTCATCCCTTCACTCCTTTGAGTAAAAGTCATACCCGCAGTGAACATGCCAGCCAAGTATGCATCAACCCATTGCATGCGACAACCATAAAGCTTACTGAGTCATTCATTGTCTTCCAGGTTATAATTATCAATTATTGATTTCCAACTCGATTCAAATTCTTCAATTGTTTGGCTAGCCACACATCTCCTAAAGGTATCTGAATAAGAAGGATGCATACGCAAGACATGACACATTTTTTCTTTGATCTTCACAAGTATATGTCACTTACAATAATGATTCTTACTTTGATAAAGAACTTGCCTCCTGCATATGAAATTGCAAGATCATAATAAGTGAGAATAACCACCCATGGCTTCCAACTAGTTTTCAAATACCCATATAAATGATTATATCTTCTCGTCAAATATGAGTGCAAATCCAAAGAAAGTTGTACTGAAATAGTGATTTACACCAAGTATAGGTGCAAAGGGCATACCAAACGCATTTGTCTTGTATATGGCATCAAAGGTAACCACATTAGGAAAGCATTAGTAGGAAACTCTAGATGTAGAATCTACCCATAAGATACTGTGAATCTGATCATCATCATCAAATCTCAATCTGTAGAAAAATGATGGGTTCGATTGGTTCTCTTTATAGAGCCATTGCAAAATTAAATTGCCATCTTCTCCTCTAAGTTTTTTTCTAATGCTTGCTATTCCATTTTGAATATCCTTTTGTGTACAAGGGACTAGCCTGCTCTATGAATATGTCATGAATATGTCTAGGCTTAACCATTATCGATCTCATTGAATGTATCAATGACTTTATAGCACTCGATAATGATCAGTGTGTGTGAATTAGACGAGTTTTGCTTAGACTAACTAGCTCATGATTATGATATTTAACGACGTTAATCACTTTCCACTCTCCGTTTTCTTGATTACTTATGCATATCCTAACCTTACACCTACACCTTAACTCAGGGTAAACCTTACCACTTTTATCAGGTTTTTCTTGTTTAAACCCTTTCTTGGAGCAAACTAAACCCTATCGATCTGTTTACCTTTCTTGGTATAAGTACTCCCCCTGCGTCCCCCTGCGAATATCAAAACCTTTGGTGAATGCATAAGACTTAAAGAACTCATATGTATCATCCTCTGATCTAAACATCATTCCTACACTTGGTTCTTCTATTTCTTGACCTTTGTTTGGTGACAATGCTGCCTACATTTGGGCATGTGCTAGATGCCACACAGACTAAATTTGTGGGATCCATCTCAGTTTTTTTACTTACCCGACATGAAACTGCAAACTACACAAATACATATATTTAAACCTTCACTATAAGAATACCAATCATATTTTTCTCTACCCACCTTGCCATATGCAAAAATCGTAAGACATGGATATTACATATTTGTGATATAAACTCAATGCAACTGAAGCGAAAAAATTGCACCAGAATTTAATTCAATTATACTAAAATGAGGATTTATACAATAAGACCATTTACCTTTGACAAAATCTAATAGCATGGGTGTTTCACAAATTCAGTTGAAATTTCTTTCAAAGTTTGAGCCTGGTCAATGGAATAATGCAGCCATCGAATTTCACATCCAAACAATGAGAAACAAGATTGCCACATGTTGTAACAATGAACATCAATCAATAGCAAACTATAAATAATATCTACAACAATACTTCAATATCCTAAATACTGAACAACATTTTTACCTCGATCATTATTCACCAGTTGGAAACTAGAATACACAGGGTTTTGCATCAAATACAGAGAAAGAACCGTATATTTGCCAATAAACAAAAGCAAACTATAAATAATATCTACAACAATACTTGAAAATCCCAAATGTTGAGCAACATTTTTACCTCAATTATTATTCAACGGTTGGAAACCATAATACACAGGGTTTTGCATCAAAAACAGAGAAAGAACTATATATTTTCCAAGAAACGAAAGAAAACTATAAATAATATCTACAACAATACTTGAATATCCCAAATACTAAGCAACATTTTTACCTCGATAATTATTCAACAGTTGGAAACCAAAATACATAGGGTTTTACATTAAATACAAAGAAAACCATATATTTGCCAAAAAACAAAAGCAAACACAAATAGAAAATCTGAGCAAGAAACGAAAACAAAATCTAGGGCAAAATGCTATAAAAACAAAAACAAATATCTGGGCAAAAAATGAAATAACAAAAATCCGGGCAAAAAATGCTACAGAGAAAGAACCATACATACACAGGGTTTTCCTCAGTATTAAGGATATTCAAGAAATGAAAAAAAATCTGGGAAAAAATGCTATAAAAACGAAAACAAAAATTTGGGCAAAAAATGCTATAAAAAAATCTAGGCAAAACACGCTACAGAGAAAGAACCATATATACACAAAGTTTTGTTCAGTACTAGGGATATTCAAGAAACAAAAACAAAATCTGGGCAAAAATGCTACAAAAACGAAAACAAAAATCTGGGCAAACAATGCTATAAAAAAATCTAGGCAAAAAATGCTACAGAGAAAGAACTATATATACACATGGTTTTTACTCAGTATTTGGGATATTCGAGAAACAAAAACAAAATCTGAGCAAAAATGCTATAAAAATGAAAACCAGAGAGAAAAAATCTGGGCAAAAATGCTCATATTGAGTGATGTTCTTTGGGGTTTTGGTATATATCGAGAGTAAAAACTAGAGGGAAAGATGGAAATAGAAAACCAGAGAGAGAGAGCGTTAGCTTACCTTGAGAGGGAGAGAGCTTCTGTGCAAGATACACGGGTTTGAGGAGCAGGGACAAATGGTAGCAGCAAGAAGAGAGCTTGTTTTAGCAGGGATAAGCTGCTATGCGGAGGAGAGAGAATATGCAGCGAGAGGAGAGAGAATACGTAGAGAGAGCAAGAGGAGAGAGAATACGCAGAGAGCGAAAGGAGAGGGAGTACTCGTACCGATTTCTCTGTGGGTGTCACTATCCACGGGATTAAATTTTTTTGTTAACTTTCAAACCAACTCCCCACAGGATGGCATCCTTACCCTCCAAACTCAAAAGTTAAATCAGTGCCGTTGGGCACACCTGAATGCTACGAGCGAGACGGCCAAGCACATCTTTTTCCATATATATATAAGGTGCGGTTTGTATAGAGCCTAGGCTCTAAACAATCAAATTGGAGCCTACCTTCAAATAGCATCGAGAATTGTGGTTTTAATACCGAAAATCTCTGTGATAGCTTTAAAATATATTTTTATCTTTATTTATAAAGTTTAAAGCTTCAAAAAATAGTGTCGATCAACAAATTTAAAAAAACTTGAAACTCTTGAAAATTGACAGTCAAAAAATGC